GTACACCCTATCCCAGACTAAAAGACGAAAAATACGGTTTTACAATCGATTGCAATCAATATTTACTTCAATAAAATCTGTTTTTGAGCGCGCGCATATCGTTAGTCTCCCTCGCATCCGTTTTTTTATGCGAGGGAGACTAGCATATCGTGGGCTCAAATCGAGCTTTGAAGCAAAGTACTAATCTCATTTGAAATAATGATACAAAAATAAAATTATTCTGCATCAACTCCATTCTCATCTATTTTTTGGCATAAATTTTCAGTTACTAAAATATTTTTTACTCTCTCCCAGTCATACAAGTGTCTGTAAATTTGTAAATTTTTAACTTAAGTATTCTTTAGGTCCTGACATAATGAATCTTCCTAGGTTTACTAAAGTAAAGTAGTCCTTTTTTTTAACTTATTTGAATTTGCGGTGGCGCCACTCTCTCTATGAGTTTCTGGTTGGGTTCCCTGTGTATAAGCATGACGTCACAGCTTGCAATCTGATATGCTATATTTTCAAAATGGCGCGTAACAATGAAAAGATAAAAAAATAACATTCGTACTTCATACTGGGCCTCCTTACATCTTAAAATGATTCAGAATCAGTTGAAGAATACTACTAAACCATACAGATGTTTGTTTGATCTGAGAAATATCCAAAAAGCGAAGGTATTTAACTCGTAGTATTAAACACAAAATGATATTATTGCAGTGACTGACTAGCATCTACATCTACTTTATCGACTTTATCAGTTATTGAAAAAAATGAACAAAAGATATCAAGATATTTATCAGTGACAGAAATGAAGTTCATATAATTATCCTTTCAAAAAATACTGTTACATTTGCTGCTTCTTATATGAACTGGAGACCACCTTGTTTTCATAGATTTATGAAACTTGTCTGAGACCAGCTTGATTTCATAAATTTTATGAAATCGAGCTGGTCTCAGATAAATTTATGAAATCATGTATTCTTTAGAGATTTGACCTTAAAGTTTAGTCCTAAAATAGCATTTCTTATAAAAAAATGAATGACAGTTGGGGCACTTGGGAGTGCACAATGGAAGATATGGGGAATGCAGTCATTTTTATATGGGTACAAAATCATTACTTTCTAGCAGAATGAAAAAAAGTATAGATTGTACTCGTTACATTGTCTCTAGAATAACTTATAAGCGAAATATCGAAATATCGCTATAATTGAGAATATTTTTCACACTAAAAATAACCAGATATATTTCTTTTTCAAAATAACAATTTTAAGGTGATTTGAGATTTTGCATATGATTACAAATAAAAGTTAATTAGGAATAGAATTTGAAAATATATTTTTATGATAAAGAAGGTAAAGGAAAAAATTGCCATTAAGTCAAACGTTTTGAGAATGAAACATTTGGAGTTTTCTGAAAAAATTATAAAAACCAGCAATATTTTCATTATGTCAACTACATAGTTTTGAGGAAAAACTCCATTATGTGAAAAATATATGTGACTATTTTTAGAAAATGCCAAATTTGATCTAAAAAATGACATAAATTTGTGGAATGCAAAAATGGGAATTCTCATAAAAATATCTGAAAATCTAGCAAATAATCTTTATATTTTAATATATAATACCAAACACAGATATTATTAAAAATCTCAAATAAGTAAAGGGAGGTTACTATTATTGCTTTCAATTTATTTTGAGGGAAAAAAACTTGCAAAATGGTTGAAACTGACACTTTTCCAAGAGCAAATGAGGTTTACAAAAATCACATTTTTTTAGACTCAAAAAAGAGAAAAAAGTAAAATTTAAAATATAGCTATTTAATGGATATATTATAGTTTGCACTCTTTATGAATTGAAAATGGTTAAACTGTGTAAGTTCCATGCTTTTAGTCCTATTATATGCACAGAAAAATAGGCAGTGCAAAACAAGGGAATTAAACAACCTTCTGCAGGCGTCCAGAACTGAATGTGTGCACACTAAGCATCAATTATTTTGAGAGGAACCCTCTGTAAAACACTTTGTGATGTCGATAGCATCAATAAAGATTATTGTTATTATTATCCCTTAATTATATACTTAAGTGATATTTTTTCCAGGTGGAACATTTAGTGAATGCAAGGCTTCTACACCAACTTCATAAAGACTATGATGAAAGCACAGCAAAATCCAAAATACCATTTAAGAACATCGGAAAACCAGTGAATAACCAGAGATACTTGCAGTGCATACATAAGCCACTGTCTATTAACCATCAGATGAGTGATTCTGTTGGGGGTAACAGGATGTACCTGGAGAGGTACCCAAGTGTTACTACAATATTATCAAACACTAAACCACCCAATGAATTCTTTGGGTTGATGAACTGGAGAAAATCAAATATTGAAAGGTTTGGTAAGGAAAAGTTTGGCTTGATGCAGAAAGACACAACTATTAAAGGAACCACTTTCCATCAGGTAATGTATGGCCATATATTGGTTGACATGACCAGTGCTCAACCTTAACAGTAGTAATATGAATAAAATACATTTCAAGCTTATGTAAATGCAAATGCAGTAAATGCAACATACAACAAAATCTTCACCAAAGCTTTTTTGAAATAGCTGTATATATATTTAGTAAAAATATGCAGGTGATTATAGAAAATCTTGCACGCTGATTGGTCAAGAAACTCACACTATCACACGATCATCACTTTGAGCCAAAATCCTAAATGGAGGCTAGCCGCTTTGTTGCTGTTACCCGTAAAAAATGCCTTTTATCTTCTTTTTTCTCTTTTTGTGAAAGAATTACCTGTGTATTTATACTAAAACAATTATTTGCCTCAGGCTCAGTGATTATTGGGGAATGTTTAACTTGCAGCTCGAACACTCGCGTCTCGGTAAACATTCCCCGATAATCACTTCGCCTGAGGCAAATAATTTTTAAGTAATTCCTTTTTTCCTGTTAAACTTATGGTTAGTTAAAGCTGTTAGCTGACACTAGCCATAAGTCTATCAAAGGGATTTTTTTTGAAAAAATCCTGAGTAAGCCTGTTTAAGTAAATTATTGCAGCCTCTGGCTTGCAACGAATATATGCTTCACAAAGTGTAGCATTGATATTTTTTAATCCACTTTCCTTTGTGAAAAAAATGAATGTTTTTTTGGAATAATTGACTAATGCATGCATGATAAAATGAAAAATTTGTAGCAAGGGTGTATTGAGCCACTTTCATCAAATGCACATGGTGTTTTTCAGTAATTCTGCAAGAACCAAGTTGGTATTTCCTTTTTAATGATATATCTACATAAAATATGTGTTTCAGAAGGTAAAAAATGATAGCAAGTTGAGAGTAACACATGGTACATGTGGTCCCGGATGTGTGCAATTAATATTAATCATAATCATAATAATCATAATTAGTTAGAACTTTTTCTTAGGTTTATCAACTACACTACACTATAAAAGTATAAACCTATATATGATCTTTGTTTGGAAATTTGCCAGTGAAAAAAATTCTTTTAACTGCCAAATTTTATTTTGATAATTCTTCATTCTATGTTCTAATGCAGCCTGGCTGCCAGCATAAAGTATGGCTGACATGAAATTCCTTTATTTTTCATACAGGATATGAAGGAATATTTTGCAGCAGAATCAAGTAATGAAAGGCATCACAAGTTACACACATCTGGTTTCATAAAGAGTGTCTGTAATGTTTTACCAAACATCTCCAACCCATTAGCAGTGGAATCTTCTGTTGTGCACTCAAGTCTTGGTTACGCTGGCACAATTGACCTTGTTGCAGAGTATATGGGAATACTTTCAGTAATAGATTGGAAGACCTCACAGAAAAAGAAAGTTAATCTTACCCAGTGTCATTCCTACCCAATACAAATCTCTGCATATGCCGGTGCTATTAACTTTGACCTAGACTATCCATTTCAGGTAACGGTAAATGTAATTTTAAGTCCAATATAATTGATTGTAGTGCTGCTAAGTGATTGTTGTCAGGAAGTATTGATTAAGGGAGGTGAATAGGTCAGCTTCAGTCCTGGACCATGTCCTAATATTCACTCTATATCTAACCTTTGTTGGGAGGAAAGGGATGGCAAGGGCTAACAAGTGGTTGTTTTCTGGGGACCATTAAAAGATCTTAATGCATATTTGTTTCATGTCACTAGATATTTAGAATTTAGCATATTTTGATGTGTTATAAGTCTGAGCATATCTTCATATTTATTTGTTCTTTTTCTTTTTTAATTAATTAAGCCGAATTCTGATAATGGAGCAGATTTTAGTGATGATGGTTATGATGACAAAAATGAATGGTGATGTTGACTAAAATGAATGGTGATGGTGGTTTTGAAGATACTGAAAAAGTATTGATCATTAAATAGCGTGCTTCAATCAAGTTTTGGGTGTGTTGCACAAGGCATAGCAAAGTGCCTCTCTAGCTTCTTCAACAGACCAAGTTCACCCAAAACTCGATATTCTAAGCACACTTAATGATGATAGTAATGACCTGTTGACGGTGATGATAGCTGAACAACAATGAAGTACAATTTAAGTTGAAGTTTTTCATTTAACGTTTATTTTCTGTCTGCTTTAGATCTTAAATAGTGTCCTTGTGATAGCATATGAAAATGGTGACCCAGCAGATGTACATATCATGAATGAACAACTATGTGAAGAATACTGGGAGAAATGGCTTATCAGACTCCATCAGTATAAGGCTATGAAATCTAGAGACTCTGTAGAACCAAAGAGAACTGGCTGGGCCATAATCGAGGACCAATATGTTAGTACTTCTCTGATTTCTGATGAGAATGGTCCTCAAGAACGACTTTCAGAAGGAGCACAGATGATCGAAAATGGACAAAATTTGAAATCATTTGTGAGAAGGCAACCTGTTTTTGATGTTAAGCAAAATAGAGGAAAATCCTTAAATGAAATTGGAAAAACAGTAAAAGATGAAGAAATCGTTGCCACATGGAGAAATCTGACAGGATTGACTGAGAGTATATTTGGTCGTGTTTTGATATCTAAAGGACTGTTAATGACTCACTATATTACCAGTATTTTTAAAGTATCCATGAAGAAGATATTTAATAGCATGGATCTTATTCCAAAGAAAGGGAACCAGTTTCACGAGAAAAAAATAGGAAAACATGGGTCTGCATAAAACTGTATTTTTGTAATCATATTTTTTAAAATATTTTTGTTTTCTATTATCACTTTTATATTTAAAAGAAATTAGATTGAATGCACGCAATACTGAACCCATGAAAAAGTACTAAGAATGAATACTACGAATTTGGGCAAAGTCAAAGTCGTTTGCTTTCTTGTTTTCTATTGTCTACATAGTAAGCACCTTTTCATGGGTTCATCTTGACCACTCTACATGTGAAAGGAAAAAAACAATATGGTAGAAAAGACAGTATGATTTTTGTTTATAAATCACTTTTGTATTTAAAGAAAGATTTATAGAATTTGATAAAATGATGAAACACTTTCAAAGACACTTTTATGCTGTGGATGCCTTGTCAGGAAGAAAAAAAAAGAATGTTTTGTTTGCTTTTTGTCCCTTTGGTCTTCGCAACATCATATATTTAAACAATTATCACTGGCCTTTTTCTAGCATTAGAATCTGTACTTAATGGTGGAAATCTATGCACAGATGCAGATGACATTTAGTAAACAACTTTTTCTTGTAACAGAAAATAGAACAACGAATATCAGTCTCGCTGTTCACGCGGTACTTGGCGGGAAGTTGACGAATAACATCAGTATGCCAAATATACTGAACAGGCATGCCTTTGTTGTCTAGCACATAATAATAGCTGGAAAATAAACCCGTGCTTGCTAGCCCGATATGCCATTGAGGATGGATGTCTCTTATTTAAGGCGATTTTTTAAAAATTGTATGTCATAAATTTAGCACCTTTTCAAAACGTTTGTTTTACTCAATTCTTCACAGTTTAAAGCGCAATTGCCCGGAAATTCCAACGAAAACAAGAAAAAATTTCTTAAATATTGGCCATGATAGTCACAAGAGGCGACATGCTTTGGGTTAAGAAATTGGTTCTTACATCCAAAAGGCATGCTATTATCAGTTCTTGGAATGACTAGAGCTGTAATTCGCCATACAGTATTCACATGACAAACTTGAAATACCTGTCAGTACCTGCGAGTATACCTTGGATTTGCCAAGGCTAAGTTTTCCTCTTCGTGTGGAGAAAATTAAACGATGACGAGACACTGTTGTTATAATGCTCGAAAGCTATTGAATGCTAAGGTGGGTGGATTAAAGAATATTAACATGTGGGCTGTGAAAGAAATTCGATTTATTAGTTTCATTACCCAACGTATACCGTAACCTTAAGCTGTCGGCCTACGCAGTCCAACCAAGTCATGGCAAAAAGATCGAAACATATCACAGTAACTATTGGCCCAAGCTAAATGAGTAGCTGCTATTAGCAAGTCCTTCTATTTTGCAGAAAATTTCGAGTAAATGATGCTTTAATAGGAAAGGAAGTTTTAATAGTGTTTAAAGCCGGCTATACATAAGACCGAAATGAAGCCTTAGTTTACTTTATTTTGATACGTTAATGCTAACGTTAAATCCTTGCCACACAACCGATAGCATCGCTGCTTTAATTAAAGGTCAAATAATCGCTGAAAGCAGTTCAGCCGGGCCAACAAGGAAGAAGCCACAAAACTAGAGCTTGGGGGGAGGAGGAACGGCAATGCCCTATACAAATCCCTCCCTCGGTTTAGCAAAAGCGGAACTAAATATAACGTAGTTTGTAGCTTTTCAAACAGCTGACAACTGATGGATCAAACAAACTATCAAAATGATAATAGGTTTATCATATCCAAACATATTTTACGAGGATTGATCGTAAATATATTCGTTGTTAGGGAAAAGCTTTGTTCAATTAGGTTACAAGACGGGCGTCACGAAATTCGCGCCAAAATTCATTTTAGCATTTTCCTTGTTAGATTTTTTATTTATTTATTTGTTTCTTGACCTAGATTTTATATTTCTTGATGGATTAACTGATGTAAAAGATATTGAATACTGAGATAAGACGCCATATTGATTTTGTGGGGAAAGAAATCTAGAAACATGAAACATTCCCAGCAGACGATTTTCGAACCAATCTGTTCCCTGTAAACCCGCATATTCGCCAGAAAACTACTTCCTCTGTTTGGGATTTCGAACTGAAACATGCCAACTTGCACATAACCGGGAGCACCGTTTCTTTAAATATGAAGTAGACTATGAATTTTTTTGATTTCTAGGAACTTTTTGAAAGAGGAAGTGATTGTCAATCAAATTTCTAAAGGTCATTGATGTGAGGAATCAACTTCCTGTATCCACGAGCCATATTCGAATCCCTAACAATAGACTTTACATAAAATGACTACGAGAAAACTATCAATAAAATTGTAAATATTTTCTTTTCTTGTGGTGTCTAAAATTATGCCTAACACAAGGAAATACGCTGTTTTGTCATATCATTTTTGCTCGTGTGGCAGACCGTATCTTTTGGAAGGGTCATGAAAGGTTAAGATATGCGGAGGCCCGCGTTCCAGAACTGAAATGGCAATGCAAAACGCGACCGAAAAACACTCGACACTTCTCCTTTTTTCCAAAATAAAAAGATAAAAATGTAACGGAATACTTTAAAAGTAAGAAAACTAGGCAAAATTTCTCACAAAAATGATTTAAAAAAATATAGTTTCTTTCCTTGATGTTTTAATAATTTCTTCAATCTTTGTACAATTTTAAACGGGTTTTTTTTCTGTGCTACTTGGCTGCTAGGAATTTTTTAACTATCATAATTTGTAATCCTCCGCTAATTATTTATTTGAATATGAATATTCAACGAAATAATCGGTTCCCGAGTCATTGTTTATCTTTAAAAAATCCTAGAGGAAGTTATAAAAATATACCAATCAAGTACCTACCGTATGAAGACCTGGGGGTCAAATCCTCCTACCCTTCTCCTTTGCCTTTATTGTTGTACAAAAGTCTGTACTATTTATGCCCATAAGAAACTGATAGATATGCGTTTACAGAGATTCAGCGTGTTGTTAACTAGCTAGCACAATTTGTTTTGATTACAGAAGACTCTATCTAATGTCGACTATATATATATATTTACTATGACCACCAATGTGGCTCGGGATCCCCATCATTACCATATAAATCATAATTCGGCGATCGTTGCATATCTCTAGTAAATACTCCAACACGCTGGAGTTGCTGTCTTCGCCTTGTATCGTCCTCATGTGCTTGTGTGTTTACAACAGGGTAGACAACTTGCAGTTGAGGTTTTGGTAATGGTTGCGGTCGGTTTTGTCTCTTGTTTTCTGACGAAACGGTAGTTCTTTGTGTATCACGTTGCAAACTTTTTAACAGCATCTTTTCTTTCTCTTTTTTCTCTCGCTCGTAAGCTGTCTTGTACATGTCCAATTCAACGGTTAAACTCGAAATTAAATCCTGACAATCCCGTAGTTGTTCGTTCAAAGTTGATATTTTACTCTGTGCATTAACCTTATCATCTTTTTCTTTTTGAAAATCTTCTTCGTATAAACTTAATTGCTCTTTGAGTAACTCTGTATCAACCTGAACATCCAGTTTACTCAGCGATCCTGCTAGTCTTATTACTTCAGATCGTAACACAGCTACTTGATTTAATAATGATGCATTTTGGCTTCTCAATGATTGAATTGTTCTTTCTTGTTCTCTTACTCTGTTATGCAAAATCTTACTTTCATTTTGGTATGCGGCTCCCTCTTCGCCCAAGGTCAATGTACCGAGTCTCATGCTACATCCTGTAGGATCTGTCAAATCATCTTGCACACTTCGATCCAACGTACTTCGTTCTTCAAAGAGTTTTTCATACTCACTCTTCCATTTAAGTTTGTCCTTTTTCTCTGAATGCAAAGCAGCTAATAAAGTTCGTTTTTCGCTTAGTAACTTAAGAATAAACTCTCGCTCGTTAAAGGTACTAATGGTTGACTTGCTAGAGATACTACTAGCAGAACTGTCATTTCCGCCTTCAAGATTCCTAACACTGGATCCATCGGCCATCTAATGGTCTTAACAATCGTCCACAAGTGCGATCTGGACTCTTCTCTAGTCCTCTTTCAATTATTAGATCTTTTTTTACACTTTTGGAAACAGTGCTTTTCCAACGTCTCATCGCGATCACTGCAGCTTATGAATGAAGAACTCCGGAACTTGCTGATGATGAAGACGTAAACTCTATTATTACTCAGACGGGGACTGGCACCTACTTCCTGTGTTCCCTTGGACTTCCTTCTAGAGTTAGTGATTTATTGATTTTTTTTTTTTTTTTTTTTTTTTTTTTAATTTATTAAGAATATGAAAAAAATAAAATAAAATAAACGAGCTGAGTTAATTTTTTTGTTTTCTTCGTAGGGTAAAAAGTTCACTTTTATTTTTTGAAATTTATTCTTTGAAATGTTTTTTTCTTAAATTATTGGACTGCAATTTTGTATCTCTGCAATTTCGAAAATTGTCTCCTTAAAACGACACTTCGAGAAACGATTGAAAACAAACTAGAAACTAAGACAAGACAGCGAGATGAGGAAGGAATAAGAAGAAACGGGAAATGTTTAGCAAAGGAATGGTATATCAATCTGTTAGTTCAACGTGGAGTGGTTCGTACACAATGTCTCAACTAGTTTGCCTTGACATATTTTCCATCTGCACAGACCACAGGAAGTCTAGTCTGACCAAAATCGTAAAGATTATAAAATATTAACAAGAAAATCGAACAGATGTAAAACATCGATTCTTTAGATCTATCGCTTGGACCACGTGACCCCGCAGTTGGCTAAAAAAAATCCTTTCAAAACTTCCAAGTATTAAATGGACAAACATTTACAGTAAAATAAATTGCTTCGAAAAAATCTTTTTAACTGTACATGCATATTGAATTTGAAAATGTTTGAAGAGGTAGGCAAATAGCGTGAAGTCATGCGGTGAGAATATCAGTATATTCTCCTAAAATATAAACAAGTACAATAGCATGTATTTATAGAAGCTATGAATATATTTAAAAAGGCAATAAATTTGGTCGTCAGGAAAGATGACTATTCATGTTATAAGACATCAGAGTTTTTTAACAATAATAAGAGGATCGTAAGTTGAGACAGAAAACAGATATCCTTAGCAGTCGAAGGTTTTGCTAGTGGATAGGCAAACCATTTTTTTAAACGCCTAGAAATATTCTTACGAACCGCATTAAGGAGAAAGAAGATTAATATAAAAAAGGTTTTAATTTTTCTTCGTTTCATAAAAGGAAATAAGACACATAATCCTTTACAATTCTAAAAGTTTTTTGTCTTTAAGACAACTTATTAAAGATATATGCTTTTTTTACTAGTTTACTTTCAGTGTTCCGTCGAGAATTTTCAACCGAAATCCTGCCTGTACAAAACAAAATCTTCATCCTTTCAATACTTACGTAACATTGTAACGGATGCTTAAACAGCGTTTTTCACAATAATATTTTTCACTTGTATTATCTCATCCAGCTTCGGTCTTTACGAGCTAAAGTCTTTTCGGCGATGATTCATAATATTCTAAGTTCCTGTGTGATGCGTGATTCATGATGTCATATAAGGGAATATTGTCACGCATGCTTGGGAAATTAGTCACGTACGGTAGGGGTTTGCTCAGGTTTGCTGTAAGGAATTTCCCCTTTGGGGATGAAGCAAATAAATACTCCCTTATTAAATCATTGGAAGTTTTATCATTTCTTTTTTAATATTTCAGAAAAATTTCAATTTCTCAAAGGCAGTGAAAACGAATGGTACATAAGTACAGAAACCTACGCATCACATGATCATCATCAGTTTACTAGCCTCAAGTCAATGGTTGATGAAATTCTTAATTACCTAAAACTACCTGTATTTCCTAGAATGAACGAAAAGGAAAGAAAATAATTCAAATATAGAATGGTTTTCTTTCACCTTCTATGCCAAATGATCGCGGGCGACAGTTGTCTGCCGAGGTTCAGTTCGTCTTTGCCGGCTTAGCCTAGGCAACCTAAGCAACATACTGATCGTACATGTTATGAGGGTTCAAGTACTTTTTAAAGTACTCAATTTGTACTGAAAGAACACCATTCCTTAATAATCAAACATTTTTGCAAACACAGAAAAAACTTTCGAATTCTAGATATCATTTCCTAAATCGTAAAAATGGCTGTTCTGATCAGTTCTAGTTCCCCCCCCCCCCCCCCCCCCGAGTCCAGTCACTACTCACTCTTTTTAAACGTTTAGGATGCATAAACTTAGAAAGCACTGAAAAATAAATAAGCAAAAACTAGCTTTTTTTCGCAACTACGATATTTGACCTATCATGATCATTACCACTTCATATCTCCTCAGTGCATACTATAACACTACTACCACCAACCACCAACCACCAACCACCCAGCCAGGTACTTCCAGGAAGCGATGATACGAAAATGACTAAAAAAAATTGGTGAAATGGTCTTGACGTAAGTATCCGCATACTTGAAAGTCATCGAGTGAACGTTTTCTATCCGTCAACTGATGCGATCGATCCTTTGACCCTCGCAAAGCTAATGATGTAGGGGTTTGATACTGAGGTATATCTTCTGTAGAGGGTACTATGAACCCGCGGAAAACATATTGAGCATGTGAAGTTTATTAAATGGTTCGGCAAGAGACAAGAGTGCGTTCATCTTTTGTCATTTCCATGATTCTCGGAAGACCTTGGCTTTGATGTTAATGATGACGTCAACAGCTTTAGTTTAAGCCTGTTCAAGATAATAATGAATGAATGAACCAGAAACGGAACACGTTTTAATAATTTCAATAGCATCTTCATCCCGTTTGGAAAAAAATCCCTGTTATTTATAATAAATTCTGCATACTGTATATGTTTCTGTAACTAGCTAGTAGCTGTTCCATCCAGTTTTCCTATCAGCTTTAACCCTTTTCTAATCAACTAATCAAGTGTTAATGAAACGAAATTCAGCCAAATGAACATACAACAAGGAAAGAGACAAGCTGGAGCCATGTCTGATTGGCCTGCATGAAAAACGCAACGCCGGGCACAGAGCTCTAAAGCTAATTATACTTATTGATCGAAGCATTGTAAACAAGCGTTACTAAGTATTTATTTGACTCGGTTCAGAACGGAAAACATGATAAATTCAGATCACGTCGCCAGGGAGTTTCCCCTCATACGAAATCTGCTCTAAACAATCGAAATCGCTTAAAATTGTGTTGGTTTCGAATAAAGCAACGTTTTTTCGTTTTCCTGTCTCCGATACCCACACCACGGTATTGTATTCATTTAAAATGCACGTAACGTTTGTACGCATAGGATTCCAGTCTGAACAGTTCAGCAACACCGGACGTAGTATTGGTCGGGGTGAAATTGCGATTTGCGCTTCAGGCCCAAGAACTCGTGATTAAGCAGTCATATGGAAACAGCTGTTTATCATACAAAAAAATAATCCAAAGGTGTTAGACACAAATCAGTGATGACGACGTGATCCAAAACGTGAGTGGTCGAGGGGGGTATGGGGGGAGGGGGGCTCGGGGTCGGGCGGATATGGAGGTACTCGAGCACCCACCCACCGTGGCCACGTTCCACCATTCAGTATAAAAGCTGGACAGTCTGCTCTTCCGATTGATCTTTAGTTCATTAATAAAAATGCAATAACATGCAGAATGTTATTCACGCAATTTACTTGGTTTTATTTAAGAATATTCATAGAACCCTCTTGACTCATTAAAAAGCCAAGTGCACTTGTAAAGTATGTGCGTTCGTATGTATGTACGGTTAGATAGTTGTTGAGGGGAGGGGGGAGGTGTCGGCTAAACCCGTTTTTATTGCCTCCTACCCCACATTTTCCGACACTGGTGGTACCTGAGTGGTTTAAGTGAACTGGAAAGCGAAAACAGGAAAAACTTCACTAAATATCTTACTTTTTTTTAATTGTTTTTATTCTTATACAATTTAAATCTTATTACGATTTATTTTTAATGCTAAGAAAGTTTGATATATAATAACTAAAAATACACATTTCTACTTCCTGATGCGATTAATTTAAAATAGTCACTATTGCCAAGTAAGGTATTCATGGTGTTTGTGCTGTGGTAAGGGATATGTTGTACAGACATGAAGCGATCAAGAACAAGATGAAGCCTCTTCGTGTTCACAACCAACTGATTACCTCTGGGGTCCAGAGGTAATTTATCCTTGCCGGTCCGTCTGTTGCTGTTCGCCTAAACCCACCCGAATGCAACGAATCAGGACCTCTGGAGCCCAGGGTGCCTAAAGTGAAAACTGATCATAAAGATTGGAGACGTAGTCTAGCCTAATCAAGAATGTTTCTGCTGTAGGACAATTTAAATGACACTGTAAAATTGGGTCTTTTGTCTAATCAGTTTGATATCAGTTAGACAAAGTAATGTGGCAATTAACAAACTTCGCTCTTGCAGGAGAATTTCATAAAATGTAAGCAGGAACTTAGGGAAATGTCAAATGCCCTTCCCCTACAAAAGACAACCGTCAAAAATATACTCTTGGAGTGATGTTAAACTTTTACTATAAAGATATTAAACTATTTATGATGATTTATGAAAGGCTCAGTGTCTTGACGTCCTCTAATTTAATCCCAGCCGAATCCAACGCTTCACGATGTCGTTACCAATTTTCCTCCAAAGCGGCAGCGACACTAGAGATAAGCATTAGCGCATGCGCATTCTGCAMATTTTTCAAGATCTCAGCAGGAGAGTTTTAGTGAGAAAGTAAATGTTCGTTTTCTTCGATTACACATAATTGAAAAAAAAATATTGTCGGTCGGAGATCTGAAATGGGCGATCTAAAACTTACGGACTTTTTGTGCTTTTACGTTTTCTGACTAAAATATGAAAAATCACATTTCAAAAAAATCTCAAAGGTCATGCTTCATATTCCAATCTAAAAGGAAACTACGTTGCCCGGCTGTAAATATATTACACTTTATAGAGCCTTACACGGTCTCAGATTTCAGATCTTTGACCGACGTTTTTCAAGGCCGTTTACCGAAATATTACTGTGTATTAGCCTTTCTGGAAATGGAGAACGCGTTGCACCATGTGGCTGTTTCAGGGGAAGGTTTAATACTTATATGGCGGCGCTCTCTGATAGTGAAAAGAAATAGGGAACCTTAATTATCATGTGCTTTTCAAATTTCATTTCATTTCTTGATGCATGAAATATCAACTGATTGATGGAACGTTCCTCAAGACAGTCAAACTATTGCAACGCATTTCTACAACTCCGGAACGGCTTATATTTTTCAGAGTCCATTTGGCAGACCAGTCAGAAACACAAATTTGCATACTGTTTTTACAAAACAAAGACGTTTTGGACTTACAAACAGACTTTGAGCATGAGCAGACGAAATTTACTCGTTTTGTTTGTTGACGTGGCATTAAACATGGTTGCCGCGTGAAAAAGGCCCATTAACTTCTTTGCCAATACCATTTTCCCAATACCTACCGTGGGTGGTACCTATACTCAGATATCACTATCATAATCAATACACTTAGAATTCATCAAGTTAGCTGCTATTTCCCAGTCACTACCGAGCTCCAAGCGCCAACAGAGTGATGGGATTTTCTTGTCGACAGCTTTAAGCCAACAGAACGCTTTAGATATTTGTTCTTTCCATTCTTCTGCCACCTCAGTCTCTTTCTTCCCAAACGGATTGAGAGAGAACGAAAACAAGCTGGGAAAGCAGGATCTTAGAAGAAACAGCATCATCAGGGTGGCAAAGAATCTGAAAATTTGATGGAAGACTTCAACACCTGTCAAAGACAACAAGAATGAAGTTATTATTTGACTAAAAAATGTACCTTATGAGTTGACGACTCAAATCTAAATAGTTGCGCGTATGTAACGGTTGGAGGATGCAAAGTGAATACTCGCGGTAAGAGGTAGTAAACATGGCGCATTGTGGTCTAGCACTGAGCGAACATTTTTTGTTTATCGCTGCCTTATATGATATTGCTTGTATCAGACAAGAATGGCCTTTCGAATCTTTTAGAGGACGAAATCTAGATGTTTTTTCATAAATCATCGTAATATGCCAGTGTCTCGATTCAGTTATTTGTTAAATCTGTTAACGCCTGATTGCTGGTTATGCTGATTATAGTATAATCACTTCCTCCTCCCCTTCCCCCAATAACTGGTAGTTATTGATGCAGACCCAGGGGAGATTCTTGCTTGCATGTGAACTTTTTTTCTACCAAAGATTCGATTGAAAACGTGTCAAATGCATCACCCAAATCAAGAGTCACAGGTCTGTTATCTAATGGCTATAGAACTTTTTATCTTGGCCGTAACGTGTCCCCATTTCAGACCACGTGTCATTCTCTTCAGAACAAGTTTCTTTGCACAACCAACCCGGAGGAGGGGGGGGTACTACCACCCCAACTTGGGTAGGGGTGTGCCGCCAGGACCTCAAAACCCTGACCCTATCTCAGACCTAAAATTTTGATTTTACATACCCTACCCCAGACTAAAACAAAGAATTGAACGCCCTATCCCAGACTAAATGACGGAAATGACGGTTATTCAATAGATTGCAATCAACGTTTTTATTGTCTTTGTGCCGGCAGAAAGCGTAGCCTATTCGCCAGACAAAAACGACCAAATCGTTACCCTATCCCAGACAAAAATGATACCATATCCAAGACCAAATGTCAAAGAATGATACCCTACCCCAGACCCAAAAGCCGAAAAACCATACCCTATAGGGCGGCACGTACGCCCGTAGAAAATATAGGGGAGCCCCCCCCCCCCCCCCGGACAACCAACAAAGAAACGATACATTACGCCCAAGCTAAAGAGGTGCATTAAAACATTGAAGTATAAAACAAGAACGGATTGGGTAATCCGCTYCTGAACCTACTAGAACAATGTACTATAATAGATGTACATAATACATACCAAGAGACATTGCACCAGCATCTTTAAGAATTGCTATGCATTTGTTTGTATCCAGGTGAACGGACCAGAACACAGGATTATCCATGCTCCAATATCCCTCCTGTGGACATAATAAAAACCATCACATGGAGATCAAGACCTTGAGAATCAAGGTAGGTGTAGCGATAGCACACTCGCTTCTCACACTTGGTCGACACTTGGGGTCTCGTGTTCGATTCCTACTTCAGGATCACATTAATGCCGTTTGTTACGCATATTCGACTGCTTTATCAATATACCAAAACTTTCTCTGTTATTCCGTTTTTCTTTTTCACTTGATGTCAAAACGGACATGAGGATTATACTTACCGGATTTTGTAGCTTGAAGACCTGTTCAATTTTGGGAATTCTATGAGGTAGTGCCTGTTGTTTAAAGCGAGAAATGGACTGAGCCAGTTTTTGAATTTGGTGAGTTCTTGTTTCGTACAAGAATCTTTCTCTAAGTGTTCTGGTTTTTCTCCCTCCTTATTATATGACCGTGAATCTTAGAGCCTGGACACTAGCAAATCGAGCAATCTGATTGGATAGATCGCATCGCGGACTGGTCTAGATTCTCCGGTATTAACCGGTTCGATCGCATATTAATCTTACGGCGAAAACATTTTGTCCTTTTCAATGAAAAGTGGTCATATAATAAAACTCTTATCAACCGAGCTTGGTCGGTCTGTGCGGGATAATCTTGACCTCGGTCGGGTACAGACCGAGCGCAGCGAGCTCGACCGACCTCGGTCAAGATTATCCCGTACAGACCTCCCGCTCGGTTAATAAGATCTAAATAAAAATCATAATGTGAGTTGAGTGTTGTGTGTTGTAATTAGTGAATATAGTGGTAGTGTGTGTCGAGCGAATCTAAACAAAGAGCCCATATACGGGGAGTGGTGGTTGTAAAATATAAGTTTCATACATGTAAGTTTTCTTACCTCAAGTGTACTGTACATGTTCATTCTCCTGTTCTTTTCTTGTTCCGCCTTCAACGATGCTGTATCGAGCTTTAGGTCCATTTCCATCAGCATGGACTTCATATCTAAAATATGCACACCACAGGTTACCCACATCAACGCCACTACACTACTTTTAACATCGCCACCACTACTATCATCACCACCACTATCATCACCACCACCATCATCATCACCACCACCATCATCACCACCGCCACCATCACCACCACCACTATCATCACCACCACCATCATCATCACCACTTTCATCACTACCACCATCATCACCACCACCATCGCCACCACCGCCACCACCACTATCATCACCACCACTATCATTAATAATAATAATAATAATAATTATTATTATTAACTATCATTAATTATCATTAATTAATCATTATTATTAATATTATCATTATCACTACTATCATCACCACCACTATCATCACCCCCACATCATCACCACCACTATCATCACCACCACTATCATTATCCCACTATCATCACCACTACTATTAACACCACCACTATCATCACCACCATCATCATTACTACTATCCTTACTACAACCACAACCACAACCACTATCACCACCACCACTCTCATCACTACTATCGCTAACATGCCCTTATATTCTTCGACATGGTAAATATAAGGTTAATTGTAAAAGTCCTTCCTTTTGCAGCACTTCTGCAAAGTGAGGTTTATAAGGTAAATATATGTCCGAAGAGTATGAAGTATAGCAAAAGGAGGGACAGCCTTACAGTCTATACCAGCATTGTAGCGATCTTACCCTCAGCATGGGTATCCTTATCTCTTTCTCTATACTTTAAACCCATGCAACGTGCTCGTCTTGGAACCGGTATTGGTTTCTCTCTTATTTTTTCCATTTGAAAAAGTTTTTCTTGGAAAACTCTGTCAGGTTCTGGGATATTTGACGAGGTAGGTGGTGAAATACCACATGGTGCATTATCAAACAATGAAGTCGGCTGTCCATTAATCCTTTCCCTTGCAAATCTAGGTTGATCCGGTGCAATTTGCAGCGASGTTCCAAGAGCAGGACGAGCTTTCTTACCTCGAGTTGATAATGGATGACGGAGCATTGGCGGCGGAGGAGCGTTTGTCACATAAGGTGGTGGAGGTGATGTCGCTTTACGTGAAGGTAGTGGTGGTGGAGGAGGAAAAGCAGCTACCACACCAGCAGAAGGGGGAGGTGGCGCCATTTGTGAAAATGACTCGGCTGGAATTCCGAATGGAAATGAGATAGGAGAAGCTGCTCTAGGAATAGGCTGTTTAAGAGCACCACCTATCATAACTGGAGGGGGACGTGGCGGTGCAGGAACAGCTGTCTTACCTCGAGTTGATAATGAATGACGGAGCATTGGCGGCGGAGGAGCGTTTGTCGCACATGGTGGTGGAGAGGTTGTCGCTTTACGTGAAGGTAGTGGTGGTGGAGGAGGAAAAGCAGCTACAACATCAGCAGAAGGGGGAGGTGGCGCCATTTGTGAAAATGAGGCAGCTGGAGAACTGAATGTAAATGCAGTCGGTGAATATGTTCTGCCCAACGTTTGTGGTCTCATTGATGAGCCGAAAGTCAGTATTCCCCTTTTCTCAAAAGCTTTTGATGGCTGAAAGGAAAGTGTCCTTTTTGTCCTTTCAAATAACGAGGGTTTGGAAATAAGGGATGAAAAATCCTCTCTCTTTGCTCCTAATGCTGCCAATGACAACAAAGATGGTCCTCGACGGGATGCTGACCCAAGCAATGCTGACTGCTGACTTTCATCAGGCGCTTCATCAAACATTCCTTTTGCCTTCTTTTCTTCCTGTTCAATGCCAAACCTTAAACCACCTCCTCCAAATATTTGTGCACCTGCTACTTCTATTGAAGAACCAACACCACCTGAAGCTGATCCAAACAATGTTGATGTTGACTGATCCCCTCCAAACATTTGTGCACTTTTTGCTTCTTTTGAAGACCCAAAACCACCTGAAGCTGATCCAAACAATGTTGGTGTTGACTGACCCCCTCCAAACATTTGTGCACTTGCTCCTTCTTTCGAAGACTCAATTGCAATATCACCTGAAACCGTATTTCGGAAATCAGCCGTCTCTTCTTTTTCCTCAGCATCGTGATATATATTTCTAGAGCTACTACGCACACTTGAAATGCTATTGATACATAAATCTTCTTCAGTTTCGAATTCCATGTCTGAAGAACTTTCGACTGCCGGGGCAATAGAACGACAGCGCTGGACTCGCTCTTCGTCTAATACAGCTGCAGAAGGGACTGCCTTGATTTCTGCAATTAATTTCTCCTGAGGTTCTGCAGGCCCAATACCCTCGTGTAATTTTCCTTGAAAGAATAAAAGATTAGAAGAAAAGCATTATTAAAAACTATTAATAAAGTATGAGGCACGATGGAAATTTGAAAAAAGGTCGGACTATGTAAAGTTTTATAAAATTAGCATCAACAAAACATCCACCATTAAACACGAAAGGATAGAGGATGTATCGCGGCAAAAAAGCTGTTTGTGAAGTTTTAACATAGTCACGCTATAACGCGCGCTTTGATTGGTATTTTAGCGTGCGCGAGCGTGCATCTCGCGTTCTGATTGGTTGGATGCACGTGCTTTATGAGAGCACACAGCACGCGCGCGCACTTTCAATTTCGCCATTCCTGTAACTTGTATTTTATAAAAGAAATAAAAAACTTGTTTGCTGTGCTGTGTGGAGTTATAATGCACTTGGGGATTGGCAGAACACTCGAGAAGTGTCGAGAACCACTCCGCTACGCGTCGTGCTTCTCCTAACACCTCTCTTGTGTTCTGCTAACCCCCGCGTGCTTTATAACTGCACACAGCACGCGCGCGCGTTTTCTATTTCTTCAGTATAAAATAACTGTTATGAATGTCACGTTCCGATTGGTTTTGAGCGTGTGCTTTATGAGAGCACATTGCACGCGCGCGCACTTTCCTATTATTCTAATTAGTATTTTATCAAAGAAATAAAAAACTTGCTTGCTGTGCTGTGTGCAGTCATAAAGCACTTGGGGATTGGCAGAACACTCGAGAAGTGTCGAGAACCACTCCGCTACGCGTCGTGCTTCTCCTAACACTTCTCTCGTGTTCTGCCAACCCCCGCGTGCTTTATGACAGCACACAGCACGTTGCGCGTTTTCTATTTCTTCAATGGTCTATGCTGACGTGATTGAGTAGCGCGTGCTATGTTATAAAGTTTATATCTATCTTTCTATATAAAGTTTATATGTATCTTATAAAAGCATTGGTCATTGATTAGCGTTCTTCCACCGAGTTTTGGATGCACTTGGTCGGTAGCTTAAGCACCCATGAAGCTAGGGTTGCACTTGGCCTCGTGCGACTTTTACTCTGCCTTGGTGCTCAGCAACCTCCCGCGGGCACCCTGGAAGCACGCTAATCAATGACCAATCCTTTATTACAAGCAAATATTATGCAGACTTTAAACAGGAAAGAGATCCCATTAAGGCAAATATTACCAATTATCAATCATCATAAAATTTTATCGATACTCTGAGACAAACTCTGAGTTGATCTAAGTCAGCCGGGCACACGCAACTCAAAGATCAAACCCTAAGACAACCTCTGGGTCGATCTAAGTCAGGGCACGGCTAATTCACAGAGCGAACCCTGAAACAGATTCTGGGCTGATTAAACTCAAGTCACAGTTTACTCATAGATGGAACTCTCAAACAACCTCTGGGCTGATATGATTGGATAACTCTTAACTCTAATAACTCTTAAATAAATAACTGGATATCTCACAAATCGAAGTAGAATTTAGCGTGTTAGGTTTTATGGAAAGATAAAAACATGAGAACCCGGAAAAAACCCTCGAATCAGGGGAGAGACCTAATTTACTAACCTATTGAACCAAATCTAACACTGTATGGGTGGTGTTCCTTTTCGAACCGCCCAAAAGTAATTTTTATCAAGCGGTACCCATGTTTATTCACATGAGAATAAAAAGCTTTGTTTAACCTAGCGTAACCTCGTCCCGATGTGGCTGAATGTGAGGCTATGGGAGGTGGGGAATTTATTGTTCCCGCTAAGACAGCAGCCGCGCGAGGACTGCTACATCAACAAACAACAGGCTTGTATTTCATTCAGAACATGTACTTTCTCCGACTAATCGGTAAAGGCAACATTCATGCACTATGCTTTTGCGACACCAAGATACTTTATCAATAAAAATGTCATCCCAGTTGGAGACGATTTCATCATCGATGGCGAGATTACCTCTATTGCTTTGCAGGGCCTCATATCCAACGTACGAGTCCTTTTGACCCATACCAACCATTACGCCTTGATGGCGAGGTCTTGCAACGATTGAGGGGAAAACGGCTCGTGGAGCATCGTCTCCTGCAAAACCAGCTTTGCACATACTAGAACCAATGTCGATAACCAAGGCTGCAATGTCGTCGTCTGCGGTTTGAACTTTTCTCCCTTTTAAGAGTATTTACACAAACAACGACATTAGATACCTCAATTTAGCATATCTATTAGAGCAGCATCACAAAGACGCATAGGCAAAAACGTTTCGCTCGTGTTAATCACCTTCTGGGGTTAAAGTCGATGAAGCCTTTATTAAATCGAGGCTACGAATCCCATCGTCATTTCCGTCTTCGGCCTCGGACTCACGGCCTGTGCCTAATTCCTCTGTAAAAAAAACCAACAATGATAACCAAAACAAAGCGAAACCAAAACAAAGCGAAAGAAATTGTTTTTTCAATTTAATTTCAACATTGTTTGTATCAAATTTTGGACCAAATAGTCATTCCAATTAGTAGGTTCATACTAAAACGATTAGCCCTCTAGACATTTTAGGCTGCAGTACGGGTAAATGCACACCCTGAAATATTAAATAAGTCTTTTATTATGCAACTGATATATCTCAAAAGAAGGTCTCTTAAAAAAAAACCTAAACATAAACACCTACCTGCAAGTGTGTCTTCAAAAGCCCCATCAAAGTGTAACTCTGTTGCATGTTCAAAAGATTGTTTGGAAAAAGAATTTCTCCCTGATCTTTCGGGTTTCATAGCTTCATAGCTTTCCATGTCTTCATAGCTTTCATCAGTATCATAGAATTCGTCAGATTCGTCGGAAAAATTACCGCAAAAGTCGTATACTTCGTCTTGGATCAGGTTTTTTTTKGACTTTAAACAGGTTGCTAGCCAGTAGTCATCGGTTTCTTCACCTTTACAACTAGCATCAGTGTCACTAGAGCTGCTTTCTACGGATTCTGTCGTTAATGACTCRTAGTCATCCAATTCCGACTTTGACCATCCGTACTCAGAATCAGGAAAGATTTCAAGGATCAGACTTCTTTTAGGATGAAAGGGCAAATCGGGGCTTACTTGGTAGATATCTCTGCGTGTTGATGGAAAAAAAAGTTAAACAATCTACTTTTATAGCTAAATTTAAGTTTGAAATCTTCAATACCAAAATAGTTTTACTATTATTTTTCCATTAATCCCTGATGATGGACGATCGTCCGTAAGCTTGGAACATTGATTCGTTAAGGTATATTCTTTTTCTAATATATATTTCTGCGCACGCTTTCATATGCAAGGGTTTATTATTGTTTTTGCCAAATGTACACATATTTACCATCGTCTTCTACCCATCCGAGAAACATTGTATGCCCTTCAACTAAAATGGTTTTCATTTGTTCAATTGAAATTGTGCGAAAACCACATTAATTGGAAACCCAAGTAAATTGGGAACTGATCAGGGAAAGAGTCCCCAAACTCTATGTGAGAAGCCGAGTTTAGCATGATCCACAAACATACCGTATTGTTTCCATGCCGTATATATTAGTCAACTGTTGAACGACGTCCTCTTGCACAGACTCATTTTCTTCTTTATCTACAAGAACATTATGAGCAAACGAACGAGCAAAGTAAGTAAATACTTCATGCAAGTCGTCCAAGACAAACGTAAACAGCAACGAACAAATTAGGGGGATTCTATGCCGTACTAGGGATTCGGAGAACGATTTAAATATTTTCGGAGGAGAAGGGACCTCCCTAGAAGCGTGCACTTCATCTTGTGCGGACAATTGGATTATAACTACAACTACCCGTTACTACCTGTTCAGTTGTCTTAACTCATGAGGAAACCAATTTGAATAAGAAAGGAAATTGGCAAAGCATTTTGGTATTGGTAGTTAAATGACGTCATCATGCAAACAGTCTTTTCCTAGAGCAACTCAACTTGGAGGAAATTACATAAATTTGGGTTGCCATGAGATTGAGAGTCAATTGTTTTGTTCTCCGATATGAGGTGCATTGGGAATATGATGTAAAGGGTCAGCAGCTCTGCAAAGACCTGTATACAACAATCAGACGGGGAAAAGCAAGCAAGCATCACAAGTCGTCATACTTGTAAGTATTCTCAGCAAATCGATGACTGCAATCCTTTTCTGATCGTCATGACAAATAGTCAAATAGAAGTTGGACAGCTCAAGAAAGGCCTGTTTCAAGACAAGAAAAAACCCTCAGTTTGATAACCCTAAGGTAATAACATGATAACATCGAATTCCATTGTCTCTGGAGGAACGCTTAATGCTAACATCCCTCTGGATGAATAGTGAGTAGGGACATTTAGTCTAAACAACCCTTACGAGTTTAAACATTAGGGAAGATTAGACTAATGAAAATAACCATGAGAGACGATTAGTCCAAATGTCCCTCCTCACCATTCGTTAGGCACGGTCCCTCATACACACTCAATTGAAGAATCGTTGTCGGGTTCAGAAACATAGGACACAGAAATGGCACATGGGAAATGACATAATGATATTATAATTTATTCATTTGCGCCATCCATGCAGTCGGTTTAGAATGCCAAACGCGTATTCAGAAGACCTGCGTTTGAGAGCCGTTTGGCTTCGCATTTTATAGGTTGCAGCGTAGACGAAACCGCTTATTTACTTGCGTTATCTCGTATCTATCAAACGTATTCTTGTTTTCCTGTTTTAGTACCTTAAGCACAACGTTAACAAACTCCATGGTTTTAAAAACAGTGGATGATGCCACGGGTAGGTCGCCCGTCACAGCATGCATCTAATTAACGTACTTCCCGTGTGCCATTTCGGTCTCAGCTTCTATATTCTATGTTTCTGAACCCGACAACGATTCTTCTATTGAGTGTATAACATCAGTTCCCAGTGACTCTCTACTACACTGTGTTAAAGACCCTAGCACTTATGGGACCTATTCATTAGTCGTCGCGCATGCGTTCAACACATAGTGACTCTTTCTTGCGAATTGTGACGTAATAAGTAATCGCCAAGTTATTTCCGAGTTCCGAAATCGCTCATAGTATTCAGTTAACAAAGAAAATGCGTGCTCACGATTTCCTAGAGTACACGATTATCAAGACCCTTTAAAAAAAAGACTGTAATTTATTCCGCTCATGGTTGACCAAAGTCAAATATATTTTGGTTTACACCCCTGTCATAATATTACAAAGTAACAGCATGACCTATCGGGTGATTAGTGATTAATTGTTCCCTCAAGCCTCGGGAGGTTTAGTAAAGTCAACAAAACCTCTCTCAGCTTTCGGGGACAGTTAATCACTAATAGACCTCCACGGCTCTGACGTAATGTTTTCCTATTTAAGACCACGTGTCATTCCCCAGAGTATCATTTCTTTGTTTAAGGTTTGCGCTCCGTTGCACATGAGAAGACATATGAATATGGATATAACTCAAACAAAGAATATTATTCTCAAGGGAAAGACACGTGGTCTGAAATTATGGGACAACATTACGCTCGAGCGCTCCAGAGCCGAGGAGGTCTATTACCCTCAGGTCATGCTATTACTTATAAGAATTACACGTGTCTGAAATGGGAAAACATGCCCAAGGTAATGAGATCTTTTGCTAGGCAATACTAACCTTGGCACTTACTAAACTTGAGCAGTGCTGTCTGTTTTCTGCCACCAAGTCACAAGCCTTCTTGTAAAGATCCTCAGCCTGTAATACTGACACGTTCTCGATGCTCTTGGCTTTGGTGAGAAGATCCAACACCATATCGTCAGTTGTCTAAAAAATATCACACAAGCTCTATAGACACCTTGCAACAATTCTATGTGCAGCTGAAATTGTAGGACAACGCAATGAATTTTGATTCTCAGACTACATTGCAAATATGCTGCAAGGGGTCTATTCTAAAAGCTAAAAGTGGTGAGAAGGAGCATATTGGCTGGGTAAGCAAACTGTGTTCTGCTTTTGGTTGGATTTAATATGTATATATTCATTCGTACTGATTGATTGTCTTGATACACCCGACTACTCATTGGGGAAATATCTTTCCTTTCAAAACATGCTCGGAATAAGATTCTCATTCAAGTTATTTCGAGGTAGGGAACTGAGGTTTTGCTACAAACCCTACACAACCACAGTCACCTTAACTCAGAATTTTCGAACGAAATAGTCTAAAACGAAAACGTCTAAGGTGGCTCGACCCAGTTTTCATAGCGCGTGGGTACTTAAAACGGCTGTATCTCCCGTTACAGACTTATGTTAAACAAGAGACCATGGAGGACTTCATGGTTTTTTGATTAATCATGATTTTTCGCACACTCGCAAAAATATCGTCTGAGTTTTTTTCACTAATCAGTGTTATAAATTATAAAGTTAGTCTTTTTAAAAATTATTTCTCAGTAAAATAATTGTTCCGTTTTTACACTAAAACGGCCTCATAGAATTTCATCAAACTTTCCCGATTTAGAAGCACAATCATTTGGTCTATGAAGTCTAATAAATCGCTTTTAAAGTTAAGGTCTGAATTTTGCTGAGTAAGTTAGAGTACATGCAGTAATGTAAAATTAAGGACATTACAATTGCGATGCAAGGAAAACTCAACCAAAGTCTGGCTCAGCTGTAGTAAGTGTACGGAAAGACCAAACTAACATCAGTGTAAAGTGTGGCTCAGCTGTAGTAAGTGTA